GTTCACAGAATTAAAGAGAAAATCTAGTGCCTCACATTTGTGGAGGAGAGTTACAGGGAAGAAACTATGCAATGTGAAGCGATGTAGGTTAACCTTGAAGATATCCGAACTGAAATGTCCTTATCAGGAAAATGCTATCATTTCAGCTGGAAGGTTTCTAAGACTCCTTCTGGCCTTGACATTCTGATTCTCAGCCTGGAGTTCTGAACACTGGTAAAGAAAAATAAAACGCAACAACAACATGAAAAGCAAACAAAACAACAACAAGAACCCCACGTTGGCCTCACCCTGAGACATGTGAGTGGTCTGAGGTAGGGTAGTGTATCACTAGCTTTCAAAAATCCACACAGGTGATTACAATGTGTCCAGACCCGAGTATCACTGATCTACTCATCCTCAAACAAAAGTCTTTTAAGGCAAAAGCTGAATTTGCACATGAGTGTGTGAGTGTGTGTATGTGTGTACATACATAAATGGGTGTGCAATGCCTAGCTGAGAGAGTGGTGGGAATTCACACTTTGTCTTGGATTAATTCAGAAACATGGAAGAAATGCAAACACATATGTCCATGTTGTCTTAATTAGTCCGTGCTGGTGGTTCTGTGCACATAGTCAAGAAGTGATGCCAAGCGTCTGGGATTCCAGCCCATTTGAATCCCCTGTTGGTTTCGCAGAAAAGAAAACAACAGGTAAGAAAGCCCGGAAGAATAATAACACCCAACACACATGCTGAAGAAAATTAATCTGTCTCACCTAGCGCTTTACGGGATGATATCACTTAATCCTCACAGGGGTGAATTAATTTTCTCCGTCTCAGAGACAGACACTTGGGAGAAATTAAACAACTTGTTGGAGATGACCCAATTAGAAGTAGTGGCTCCCAATACTGCCTTAGTGGAACAGCAGGTAGCTTTGCTAAGAGGAAGCCAAGCAGGAGGGCACCGGTCACGTGTGAGACAGCAGCCGGCCACAAGTTACAGGCAGTCAGCATCAACCTCAGCTGCCGCCTTGATTGCAAGCAACACAACTGCTGGACTGTTCTCCTCTAATTCAGGGATGGAATCCTCAAAAAGATGATCTGCAAACAGCCAGACAGAGTGAAAGACCAGGAGATAAAGATGCTGTTGAACAGAGCTATCAGGCTTGACCCACAGATCTGATAGCCACCTTGTGGAGACTCAAAATTGTTTTAACGTTCGCAAATTCTTGAGCTGTGATTTCAGCACTATCAGATGACACAGCAGTGGATTAGAAAGGTGCTTCGAATCACCTGCAGACTGAGTAACACACAGATTGCTGGGTTTCATCCTATGGATTCTGACTCAGTGGGCCTGGGGTGGCTGGGGAACTTGCATTTCTGATAGTCATACTTACTGGCTTAAGGACCACATTCTGGGAACTACTCACTAGTGCCAGGGATACCTGAAACTTGGGGGTGACCCCACAGTCTCTCCAGGTCTTTACTTTTTGTAGAGCCTACTGGTACTAAATTTAAAGAAATTTTATAGGAAAAAAGTCACCATGTGGGCTGAATCTAATCCCTTGTTCCATTAATTCGGAAACTGCTAAAGGAGAGCAGTATCAGTATTTCCATTTATCCAGGGACAGCATCTAAATTCAGATTGATTTACGCAGGAATAAAACAGCAGAGAAAATTTCCAGGGGGCTATCCATAAAAACATTTCACGAGGGTAAAACCAGTTTAGAAAAATATGAAAAAGCAAAATTAAGTTTGTAATACAGTTTTCCTTTAGCATATGAGTGCAAAGTATGTGCCAAGTATCATAATCTAGTTTATGTTACATTTGTCCTTTAGGACATATATTAAAATTTCAGCACAAGCCATATGGAGAGAGTCACAAAATTATATACTGAAAAGGAGGTAGGCAGCTCACTGTGTTCCCACAAGGTCACTGTGCTCACCACTTAGAGGGCTCACAGAGCAACACGATCGCAAATTTGCATGAGACATACTTAATACTGAACAATTCTAACTCCTGAGTAAAAGTAAATTAGCCTATTGAGGCAGCCTCATAAAAATCATCTCAAAACTATAAAACAAGTCTGAGGTTTTATTCATAGTAATACTTAAGAGCTTCCATAAGAAAGATTTGGAGACTTCAAATTAAAATATAATGAATAGGTCTAAGCTTCTCCACTACGCACTTGAAAATTAAGACTGAGTAGAAAACATGAAGGGCTGATTTTTATCCCTTCCTTCAACACCTCTTTCTGCTCGACACCCTCTGCTACTTCAAAGAGATCCTGTGCGAAGAAACGCACAAGGAAATACAGTTCGGATCAAGTTGTTTATAATGATTGTCTACTCAAATACACTGCGAGAGCATATAATAATATAAGGAGTGGGGGCATTTTGATAATAAGTAGGCTGCCCATTTCACGTCTCTGATTTTTTTCTTTGTCTTTTTGAGACAGAGTTTCACTATGCAGCTCAGGGTGGCCTTGAACTCGAAGCAATACTCCTGCCTCAGCCACCTGAGTGCTGAGATTACAAGCATGTGTCAGTACACCTGGCCTTGATATTTTGAACTGATGCTAATTATTTGACTAGCTAGAGGTCAGAGGGAGAAGTTAAAAAGATTCATAGAAGATCTCAATTCTTTAGTTAATATAGCTTAGCTTGGAAGACTTTTAAGGGGCCCAAGTTTGGAATGAATAACTCTCATTTGGATTCTAGCTTGTCACTTACCTGCTGCCTTTGGTGAAACAGGCTGACACTGCCCGCCTCACTTGAAAGATGTGAGCATTCAATTCAAGGGAATACATATGACGTCTTGTGTACTGCGTCTCATTTGAGACAGTGCTTAGTGAAAGTTAGTTCTTCTTATTTTTATGATTCTATTGCACTTTGTATTGATTTTGGCAGAAATTTGTTTGCTGACATTATGCTAGCATTTTCTTTCACCTTGTACAGATTTCTTCTTCTTTAGCACAGATTTCAAAAAGAGTGCTGTGATGTGGGTGATCATCTATTCACATTTTCCTTAAATGCAGTGTTAATTCATTGTATTTTCCCCACCCTACCAACAGTAGTGGGTGGTTCTTGGTAGCCCTCCGTTCTGTAATATTTGTATAAAAAAAGATCTGTTGAATGAAGTGTTTGATATCAGAGTCTATGAACACAGCTAGAAACAACAAGCACACAGGATGTGGTTTTTCTTTTCCAACCTTGTTCACAGATTCTGTGCTATACTTTGTGTTAGATGACACTGGAGTGTAGTCCACAGTGGGAAGCCTGTCTCTTGAAAGGGTTCACTGCTCAGTGAGCACCCATGGCTTGACCAGGCCGGCCTTCCATTTCTCCCTGAGTACCAGTTCACAGGCACTCCAAGATCTTCTCCTCAGAAGCAAGGAACAGAACTCTCCCTGGGAGCAGAAGCATCATGTTGGTTGATTGGAGGGAGCTCAAGCAGTAGTGTGGAGGTCCAGCACAGACCATTTACACAATTTTGTTCTCAGAGAGGTGTCCCAATGAGCTTGGCCTCATCATCACTATGAAAACCTTACACACACCAAAGTGTATATTGTTTTATATGTTGAAAGTCTTATATGTTAGAAATGCAGAGGTGCAGGGAGGATGTTAGAGGAAAGAGATGTTACTCACCTGCCCAGGCTGCTCACAGGCTGTCTGATACCTGGCCTGCTGGCACAGTTCCTTGACTCGCTCATATTTTGGCAAGTGGTTTGACTGTTGAATATTCTTGCTGGCTTCTTCCTTCTTTCGTAGAAATTTGCTTTGAGAGAAAGGGAAAAGCTCTCATATGAGAAGTGAGCTCAGTGCTGCCATTTCCCTTTTCTCCTCTGCCACATGGTCCCACATTTTTCAAATAGCAAGCTGTGGATGTTAAGGGTCCACCTACAGGCATTCAATGTTTGCTGACTTCTCCTTGAAAATCACAAGCTGGGCTCTACAGAATTTGTATGATCAGGATAAGAAGATTCACCCCTCCTCTAAAGCACAAATTTAAAACTTTGGGCATAAATGTTTAGTTTTACATGCTCAAAGTTCTTTGAATTGAAAAGCAATCAGTTTTTTTCTGTCTCCCAATTTATATACAGGAAAAAAAAAAACACAAGGTAGTGAGAATTATAAATCAAAAGGGAAAACTCAGAAGTGACTACGGAAATAATTACAATGGCATCATTTATATATTTAAAACTATGAAAGCACATGATGAAAAGAAGTAGGAGGTTGGGCAGCAGTACCAGCTAAGCCTGCAGGCAACGAGGAGAAGGAGGTAAAAGGATGGTCTGATTAGAAACCAAGACCGAGGACTGCAACAGTAAATCTAAACCCATGTAAAGGCTTTGGGCTCATCTCATTAATGAGCAATAGTTACTCAGCTGATTAGTAGAGAATAACTAGCAAACTATTTAATCTTACAACCAGGCTTATGAAATCTGCAGTGCTTAGTAAGCCAACATAAGGAGAGGAAAAAATACCCAGCAGGGAGAGCTGCCCACTAGGACTACTTCCCAGAAGCACCCCAGGAACCAGTAATTACCCTCTTTCCACTAGGAATGTATCCCGCCAAATTCTGGCCTTCTTGTTTGTTCGAAACCTGAAAGCAAAACAGTAATATTTACTGTTGGCATCTGGATGTTTTCACAAATGGATCTGTGCTAACAGTTTATTTAAAGAACACCTCTCACTTCCCACAGACCATGACTAGATCTCCATCAATGTGCTATTCACAAGCCGCTTAGAAAGGCTCAGCTTGGGGTGGTCCTCAGAGGTCAGGTGCCTTTTGCCTTTACTCTTTCCAGCTGTAGGCTGGATCTGGGCACCAGCTCAGTGTACTTGGGGCTGGCTGGGAGCAGAAATGTTGACACACCTGTTACCTGGCTTTTCCAGGTCCAGCAGCTTGAGGACGGACTTGCCATCCACATCAGGAGGTGTGTCAAGTCCAGCAATATCCAGGATTGTAGGGGCCAGGTCGATGTTCAGGACAATCTGCGGGATTCTGCAAAAAGACAGATAGTTATGACCCAGACCCAAAGCCGGGGAGGGTGCCATCTAGGGCTGCTCTTTTCTACAGCTGTGAGTCCATTTTCAACTCTCCTCGCCCTCACCTCTTGTTTTCTAGAGGTGAGCGGTGGGTAGCATTTGGCCAGAGTGGGTGCGGGGTCAGCAGCGGTGGCGCTGAACAAGACCAGTTTTATTGGGTCGGGCTGGCGAGATTCCTCACCCTTCTTGTGCTCCAGCCATGCTGCTGAACCAGATGTGGCATGGTATGTGGTTTGTGTGTGATGTACACTGTTTCTAAGCACCTAATAGTCCATAACTTCTCTGTTGAACTAGGACTTTAACTTCAGTATTCTAGAAAAGGACCTCAACAGTTTTCAGGGTTGAATTTAACCAGTGCTATCAAGTGTTTCATAGCTTGATGTCAGGAACATAAATCTTTCTAACTATTGGGCTGACAATTCCCAGTTGGGTTAAGAGACATGACACTCTTAAATAAAGATGGGATAGGAAGCAGTGGCCCAGCCTACAGCGACAGCAACAGAATTCTAATACCATTAGTCTCTTTTCTTTTAAAAGAAAAATCACACATTTCAAAGTTTTCTTTTAAAGCTAATGCTTTAGTAACTCTTTTTAAAAATTAAAAAACCAAATACCAAGAGAATGCATTGCTTTATTTTTTGTAGAGATAGTCTGATTGATTGATTAATTGTAATGCTGGGAACTAAACCCAACGCTTTTGTACTGAGCTACATCCTCACATCCATCATTTTAAATTTTTTATTTTGAGATAGGATTTAAATTGCCCAGATTGGGTTTAATCTTTTTATTCTCCTGCTTCAGCCTCCCCGAACTGAGATTACAGTGTGTATACCATATGCAGCCAAGCAATGATCATTTTCAAAAGTGACAGTATATCTTTGATTCAGAGACAGTAAAGATAATGTCCTCAAAGGCCACATTCCATCTTTGTCCACAGGTAAAAATAGATGTGGATTCTGGTCAATGTGAGGGAATTAGTCATTCATATAGTTATTTTCCCTTCCTGTTTAAAGCAAACGTTAGTTAATTTAACATGTGGTGGGGGAAAGTGTTCCAACTTTTAAATTACCAATCTACACACACCATTTCTTGTTTTGCATGGAAAGAAACCAGACCCTGAGACTAGTAATTGAATTACCTTAGACCCACATGAGCTGGGGCAGAAGAATGATGCAAACAGATATACGTACACTGATCCTGGTTCCACGCTTGGACCACGAATAAAGAACGGCACACGAATATCAAAATCATATGGCATGGATTTCCCCTTGACCAGTCCAAACTGCCCAATGTGGTAACCGTGGTCGGCGGTGTAAATGATGTAAGTGTTGTCCAGCTCGCCCGTCTCCACGAGCATGTTGTACAGCTGAAAAACAGCACAACTCATGGCAAATGGGATGCTTGCAGTAACACTCCACAGTGTTACCACAGTTTCCCCCAAAGCTCTTAGCTTTTGATATTTCTAAGAGCCAAGAATGACTTTAATAAGCCCACAAACACATTTTCTAATCACATACAGTCCTGGAGGGAAGAGGTCTCATGGTACAGATGAAATAACTTTTTTGAACCTGGTACATTTTATGTAGAGGTTGTGCTTGTCTGCTTGGCAAAATAACAATAACCAAACAACAACAAGCCACAAAGCAACCTCTACCCTTAAACTATGTAGATTCTACTTGGACAATCTGTAAAATCAGACTGCTTCTGACCCTGAGTCATGTAGTGATCCAACTTGTCTTTGGTTTATACTAGTTTTTGTTTCTTTTTTTTGGGGGGGGGGGCAGGATCTAGCTATGTAGTACAGGCTGACCTTGAACTCACTATGTGGTCTAGGCTGGCCTCAGACTCAAGGTAATCCTCCTGCCTCAGACCTCTGAGGGCTGGTTATACTAGAGTTTTAAATTCAGGAAATTTCAAATAAAAACATTTGTATTTTAGTTTCTTTTTAAAAAGTCAGGAATCTTGATGATACTTGATTCCCATTTCTATGTGGCAAAATTAGCTTAAGCTGAGTAGGCACAGCTTGGTTACATAGGGCAATTAATAAATTCCTCATAATCTCTACACTCCCTATGGCTTTAGTCATTTACATTATTTGACTGATTTCTGAAGGTATTTGAGAGGGAAACCCCTGATTTATGATGTTTTTATTTTTCTCTTCTCCATCACCAATTCCTTAAGAACCAAACCTGGAGACACAGAACAGGGGTGGAGTGGGGTGGCGATGGTCATGAGCACACTCAGCATGATGTTTGAAAGTGAAGTGAATGAGCAGGATTGACAGGCATGTCAACCTAGCCCAGGACAGGCTGTGGGCTTACCCTTTCCACAGAATCATCCACGGACATCAAAGTCTGGAGCCTCTTGCGCTGTAGAACATTGGTAAATTCCATATGGATGGGCAGCATTGGGCCTGTGTACTGCATGATCCAGTGTTTATCCATATTTGGTGCATAGTTATAACTAGGAGTTCTGAAAACAGCCAGAAAGAAATCTTACTATTTGTCTTATTCAGCAGAGAAGTAAACTAAAATTTGTGAAATAATCACTTAAGAAAGATAATTTAGACACTGTTAAAGTAGATATCTCAGGGCTGGGGGTTTAGTTCTCTGGCACAAGTGCCTGCCTGGCAAGCGGGGGGTTGTGAGTTCAATCCCTGGTACCAAAACAAACAAACAAAAAGTAGATGTCTTTCCTGAGTATCTCCTCTCATGTTTATAAATCCAAAGTCTTCACCAACTCAAATAGCATATACCCTGTTCTCTATTTTTTTTTTTTTTGTACCGGGGATTGAACTCATGACCTTGTGCTTGCCAAGCAGGCGCTTATGCCACTGAGCTAAATCCCGGCCCAACACCCTCCCAAGGCATACCTGGACTGGCTGCTGCACATATAGTTAGTGCAAGTTCATTTGGGCTCAGTGAACAAAAATGTAAGGAACACATCAGATGATGTCACAAATCTAGAGATAAAACTCACTAATATAGAAGACAATGTTAACTCATACAAATTCTCTTGCTAATTAGGGTATTAAATATAGTCACAGATATATGAAATGATGATCAATTATAATCTCAACACATTTTCTCTCTTTACTTTCTTAAAGCATTTCATGGATTCTGTATACATATATGAGTTCTTTTTTCTGCATGCTTAATGTTGTACATTAAAGCCATTAATTTAACTACTTTTACTGGAATTATAGTCCATTACTTCCGAAATATACATGCTGACCTCTGAAGCTATTCATTTCATAGAGAATTCAGTATGGGTGCAGGGCATGATTTTTCCAAACCCCAGGGAAGTAGACTCTACTGTTCTATGATACGTGAGTTCAAACCCACACCTAATCTACTGCAAGTGGTGTCAGATGCATTCCACCGGGACTCATAAAAGATGTCACTTCTTTTTAAGTCTTACCAACTGCTTTGACCATTAGATGCTGTCACGTTTCCCAAAGAATAGATCTATGCTAGAGCAGATCTTACACCAAAAGGTATTTGTTTATACTCAAACTTAATCCTGCACTAGACAGTAACCCACTGAAACCTTCCCTTTAAACATTATTAAATTTATAGATGTTGTGCACCATTCGTGCAGTTTTGTGTAAAGTAATTATATCTGCAGACTCATTCAACTATCTCAGCTGTTCTGGGAAATTAGTTTATTATCCCAGTTTTATATATGAGAAAACCAAGTCTTGGTAAAGTTAAATAACGACTCCAAATTAACAAACAGCAATAGTAGGTGGTAGAATGAAGACTGGATTCCACAGCTCACTTTCTTAAAATGAACAGGAAACGAAGTGTGCTTCTACATCATCTGAGATTGCTTTAGCCTTGACTTCACCAATCACTATCTTACAGAATAGCCAACAGTATACACTGATTGAGAAATCCAATGCGCATCTCTATTACAGGGAATCCCACCAGAGAAGGAAGCATTGTAGACAAATATAACTAAACAGGACCACTGGCCGTCACCCATATTATAAAACTACAGAAACGATCAGTCTCTATGTGCCTCACGATTTAAGAGACTTTACCAAAAACTCAACTGAGGCTGTGGGGTAAGAATTTCCCATGAGGAAAACCTTGGAATTTCTGACATGCAAGTGCTGTACACTGGGACATTCCCATGCCACTGAGTCATATAAATACTGCCTGTAGTTATATACTTTCCTCCACTGGTTGCAGGACCTCCCTTTTATGGTAAAAATGCTAGAACAGTACCATGGGCCTCCTTGTCACACAAAAGTATTCTGATGTCAGCATGCGTGTTGATGGCCAGCAGATCTGAAACAGCACGAATGTCATTTAAGCTCGGAAGACATCATCTCTGAAAGTGAACAAGCTATGACCAGAAGTGTAAGTTGATGCCAGTGTAATGGGACAGATTCCCGGAGTAGAAGAAAGGGCTCTGTTTGCTGTTCTGTAAACAGGACTCACATCATCATTCTTGTTTTGATACACAGCACTTAAAAATGTCTAGAACAGGCTGGAGGTAGTGGCACACTCCTGTGGTCCCAGCACTCGGGACTTAGAGGCAGGAGAATAACCTGACTGAGGCCACCCTGAGCTGCATAGTGAGACATTGTCTAAAAAAAAAAAAAGTCTAGAACAGAGTTCTACAGGCTTGCTCCATGAGCCAATAAGCAAGTACATTTCACGTAACTATCTAGGTTGAAAAAAAAATAGAGTTAAGAAGCAAACTCTGTTTCAGAAGCACCTGCCATTCTTTTAAAGAGAAGCTTGAAACATACACTTCCTTTTGCCTATTTAATAAATGATTCATGAACCAAATCGTTTTGCTTTTCATTTGGTCTGACATCTCCAAGGGAGCTGGGCAGGGATTGAAGCCCGAGACTCTCGTTCTTCATACGGCATGTCGGCATGTCGCATTACAAACAGGATTAGATTCAGAGGTTGAGGAAAGAAGGGCTTCTAAATCCCCTCAAAAAGGGGGTTTTCACCCACGGTGGTAGTCTGAGGTCAGAGAAACATAGCAAGTTGGCCATGAAAGTTTCCCTAGCCAATTTCTGATACGTATCCTGCACGTAGAACACAGTTCTAAAAGATCACACAGGATTTCTTTATAATAAACATCCTCCTCGTACTGCCTTTGATGTTGGGTCAGCTTAATTTAAAAATAAAATGAGTCAATTTTTTTGAAAACCACAGAACTTCAATGCAAATAAAAATTACAATAGGGACCCAACAGGCAAGTCCATGGTGGGCAAGTTATAGCTTCTACTGGTCACTCCACGTGCAGGTGTGGCCCTGCCTCACCTGGAGGAATGGGGAAGCTTGCCGTAAATTACAAGGGTCAAGCTGGATGCTCAGATTTATAGAATGACACATGCTAAGTCTGGCTTATATTAAAAGGCAGAGTTCAGGACCCACTGTCAAAGCTGTCCTCCCTTTCCATTTTTCTTGCTTTTTTGATATGGGAGATGACCTCCAGTTGTGGAGCTTCGGTCCCAGGTGGAATCTCAGCAGGTGGCCAGGAGTAGGGGTGCGCTTTTGCCTTTTAAAGGAAGACAGAGTGCCACTGCCTCCCGGAACAGCAGCTGCTCAGGACCTGCAGGTGGAAGGTGGGTGTCATCCCTGAACTGGTTGTTGAAAAGTGATCTTTTGCCAAAGACCTGTGGCTGCCTCCTGCTGAGATCTGCCAGATTCCTTGAAGAGGCAGCCTTCTGTGCTCCAGTGATAATTAAAGCTTGCTTCCCTGATTAAGGATCCACTTAAAATTATTCAAACAGGACCCGGAGCTGTCAGCTGGAACACAGGTCACTAAAGGGAGCTGGGAACTGTTTTAGGCTAAAGTAGAAAAACTGCATATTCCATTGTTGGGTAACACTTCAGAATCAAAGCCACATTTTCATCCCAGCTCTGTTATTCATTAGTTTTGATTCTGGATAAGTTTTTCTTTTTGGTTTGAGTCTCCTCATCTATATAATGAGAATGATAATTTTGAAGAGTCCTTGTGAGGATTACGAGAGATTTCTGTGACAATAGAGAGCAAGTTATGGGCCCACATCACCTCCCTTTGACAGGTAGGCAGGAGACAGCTTAATAGCTCATGAGGGCATCATTTTTCCATTTTACAAGAGAGAAGTCAAAGTGCATAGACATGATGGCTCCTAGGGGTGCTGCCTTTATGTCACACTGACCTGAGTCCTGGTCCATGGTACCACAAAGCACCTCCAAACTCCAGCCACAGAAAGAACTGAGGCATACATTTCATCTGCCAAGAGTAAGACCTCCAAATCCTGAGCCTTCCTATTTAGAATATTAGTGGAATGGGTATAGTGGCACACGTGGATGGTGGCATGCTTGGGAGACTGAGGCAAGAGAATTACAGGTTCAAAGCAGACCTGGATGCACAGTGAGACCCTGTGAATGAATAAATAAATAATAATTGCTTCTGCTTCTCACTCGCTCACTGCTGAATGTGGAATTTGTTGCAATTATGGAACAAAATCTGACCCTGGTCCAAGCCATGGTCGATATATCAGTAAAGAGGTAGGCAACACTAGCTGGTGCGAAGATTGAAAGAACAAAGGGCCAAATAGTCATTTTTATAGTTTCTGTTGTTTTCTTTAAAAAATAAAATCAAATCTGCCAGGTGTGGTGTCACATGGCTGTAACCCCAGCTACACAGGAGGCTGAGGCAGAAGAGCTGAGAATTCCAGGCCAGCCTGGGCAACTTACAGAGATCTTGTCTCAAAATAAAAAAGAAAAGTGGTGGAGATGGGGATATCGCTCCGTGGTACAGTGCCTCTGGGTTCCTGCTCCAAGATGGGAAAAAAGAAACTGGTGCGGGAAGCAGTCCCTTGAGCCTGACCTGCTAACTCATCTGCTGTCCGCTGCCTTTCCTACCGCTCGACACATTGATCACAGATGCCCGATCACTGCTTTTTTAGTTCAGCCTCCATCACTATGTCACTTTTTGTGGGGTGGCAGATTTTCTTTCCAGCATTGCTTATCAACAAAAAATAGGAGTAAGAATTCTGGAAAAAAAAAAAATCCCTGATGTCACCTTCCTTTTGATGGATGTTTTAGGAGACTAACTTACTAGCAAAGAATAGTCTCAAGAAATACACATGTTACATATTAAATCCATTTTTAAGGAGCTGCATAAACTTAGCAGTTCATTTTTACTGCTGATGGCCTTTGCTGTCATTCCCGTGAAAATTAATACGTTTATGTGCTTTGTATTTGAACATTTTTTCATTTCTTATTTAGTCCCCTTTAGATCGAAGCCTTAAAGGACACTGGTAGCAGGACTATCATTCACTGAGAAGTGAAGCAGGTCTCAATTCCCACAACAAGCCAGTTGGACAGATTTAAGACAGGCTCAAAGTGTTAAATAGGAAAGTCTGTACTGAATGTCCCAAGCCACACTGTCTTTGTTTTTATTAAAACTGAATGTATTTCATTGATTTTATGGAGCTATTTCTCACCTGACTG